TATAGTTTTATTTCCTAAAATAATAAAATTTTTTTTTGGTAAATATATAGGTGCATCCTAATTCGTATGCCTTGGTAGTGAGCATGGAAAATATTACTCTCAACTGGTACTTTGGCAATGACCGTTCAATGCTGGTCTCCAACTGTCTCTTCCGCATGGGCGGAGCCGCCATTCTCCTCTCCAACCGCTCCTCCGACCGCCGCCGTTCAAAGTACCAACTCATCCACACCGTCCGCACCCACAAGGGCGCCGATAACAAGTGCTACGACTGTGTCTTCCAACGTGAAGACGATACCAAAAGAATCGGCGTTTCCCTCTCCAAAGACCTCATGGCAGTCGCGGGAGAAGCCCTAAAAACAAACATCACCACTCTCGGCCCGTTGGTCCTCCCCATGTCCGAGCAGCTTCTTTTCTTCGCAACATTAGTCGCTCGAAAAGTCTTCAAGATGAAGGTCAAACCCTACATCCCAGACTTCAAGCTGGCGTTCGAACACTTCTGCATCCACGCCGGAGGGAGAGCTGTGCTGGACGAGCTGGAGAAGAACCTGGAACTCTCCAACTGGCACATGGAACCTTCTAGAATGACACTCTACCGCTTCGGAAACACTTCGAGCAGTTCTCTTTGGTACGAACTGGCTTACACAGAGGCTAAAGGGAGAATCAAGAAAGGTGATCGGACATGGCAGATTGCATTTGGGTCCGGTTTCAAGTGTAACAGTGCGGTGTGGCAGGCATTGAAAACGATCAATCCGGCGAAAGAGAAGAATCCTTGGATGGATGAGATAGATGAGTTTCCGGTGCATGTGCCTAGGGTAGCACCGGTCGTTTCCAGGTCTTGATGAAGAAAATTGGTTTAAGTAATTAATGCTCCTATTAGTGTTGCGGATGCAGATTAGAAGCAATCCCCATGTTTATTCTTTCTAAATTTAAACTACCTTATAGTTTAAACTACACAAGAGAGCTGTTTAGTATTGTGCTTTATATTGCCAAAATGATTTATCATGTGTTTTCTTTAGACTATTCTTCCTTGTTACATGTCACAAATTAAAAAAAAATGTATGTCCTAGATGGCATACAAACTAATAAAATTTTCATACAAATTAATAATAAAGGAAATGTCTACTGTAGCTGTTTGAAACTATCAATTATTAATTTTATCTAACGATGTAAATAATTTAGTATTAAT